ACATACCGTTGCTCACAATAAAGGATTATTATTACTCTCATAATAAAATAATGAAAGGAAAAATGGAGACAGGGTAGGGATATGGTATGGATAATGGTGGGTGTAACAGGTTGTGTCCCGCGGCCAACGGGGCTTAGCTTGGTTATACTGTTTTCCCTGTTCGTGTCGATTAAGGACCGTCCGTTGCTGTGGATGGTAGTCAGGTCACAGACTTATTATCCTGAACACATACTTGCTTATGGGAGCGGGATGGCTCGTTACGTTCTTATCGTGGTTTCGGCTCTTTTCGGACCGACTGATTGGAGGCTGAGAAAGGTAGAGGTCTAAGCACCATGTTGAGACCGGATCTTAAGTGTAGAGGCTTGGAGTCCAAGTTGGGACGGAGACCTGTACCCCGTGACAGAAGTAGAATGGGTTGGTCTTGTTTGTGCCTGGGGTACAAACGGGGCGTGTGTTTGGGAGTACCTAGCTGGGATATATTGGTTCGCGAATCGCCGTTTTCATGAGACGGTACGACTTGGCTATGGTCTAGCGCCGTAGTAAGAACTGAAAGATGAAAGATGGTGAAATGATTCTGATTGTTTAACACTTGCTTGAAAGTAGAACAGGTGTTTACCTAAAATGGTTAGCTAAGGAAGTAATCATGACTGCTAATAAAACTTGACTGTAAGGATGAACTATTAGTAATGCTTTCCGCAAATAAAAAGAAAACAGCAAACACATATTGCTTATCATATCCTTGAGAGTCGGGAAACTATTCCCATGAGTCGGGTAAGTCTTGCGAGTACATTGTGTACTCAGGGTTTATTTTACCTCTGTTGCAGGTGCAGCTTGAGGAGTAGCTCTTGTGTGGAGGATTCTTCTGGTGGACACAGACGGATCCTTATATCGTTTCCGCTAGATGTTTATTTTCATTCCGTTGTTTAATTATCGCACTCTGAACTCTGGTATTATAATAAATAATTTTTAAGAACTCTTGTTGTATAAAATGGACTAAGTATTGTAAGGTTGTAATCATTATTGGATTCTGGATGTAAAACGTGGATTGTTTCGAGTTCTTCCTTGAGGTGTGCTCGACGGAACTGACCGATGTAGCTCACTTTCGAGGTGCTTAGTGTCTAGTGGAAGACGAGCGCATCTGAAAACGTGTTATTTCGGGCGGTTCTGCCACACCCATACCCCATAGCGTAGAGTGGCCGGCACCCGTTTACGCATATGAGTACGAGCGTCGCCGAAGAGCCGCTGCCGACCGCCCATAACGCAGAGCGCTGGCGCCCGTGCATGTGTAGGTGCGAGATCAAGAACAGGGCCGTTTCTAGATAACACGAATGAGAACGTGGCTGGTCCACGAGTCGATGGAGTATCTTAAAGATATTTCACATGGAGAACGAATGGAGTATCTCGGAGACAGTAATCATGGAGAATAAATGGAGAAATAATAATTGGAGAAAACATGCTGAAATTGTGGAGAAAGTTGTATTAAATGCAGATATAAGAAGGATACTTATCTTTAGTCAGAACGTCTGGTCGGCGGCGTATGACGTTATCTGGTCGGCGTCGACGAAATTGTGCGGCCCTGTCATGGAGGCGGTCGCGATCGTCGTAGCATTGTTCTTCGCGGCGATCATCATTACGACGCGGCAGATGATTGAAGTGAGTAGTCTGGACGACGTCGTCCTTATGTTACTGGTCGGCCTTAGGCCGATCAAATTCGAAAATTGACGGACGAGTGGAGTAGTCAACGTGTCACGATGTCTGAATAAACAGCTCACTTGACGGCTTGGGCGGCTCGCTTAGCTGCTCGTTGGTGGCTCGTGCTTGCGGCTCGGAGTAGTCGTCAGTTTGCACGAATAGCTTCCATGCATTTTTAGTCGTACTCTTTCCTTCTCTATTGCTTTAATTGCTGATTGGGCATAACTTGTACACCACGTCATCTTGTATGGTCTTGCAACTTGATACGCTTCCCTTTTCTGTCTGTTGCCTTCTGACTGCAGTTGATGTCATCAGGTTCCGTGCCCTATCCAGGCTCGGCTTTACGATGGGTTCGAATCTGCATGAGGCCGAGCTTGAAGCCACCAGCAGATCAAGATTGGATGATCCCACAGATCGCACGCCTCTCTGCAGATTAATTCGTCCTTCACTTTGCTTCCGTGTCGGACTCCGGAGCTCGTTGCGAGATGCGATATGCTGCTTGATTTTGCGTACCACGGTGTACCGCGTGAAACCACCCTCGAGTCCGTGGTACACCCGGCTGGACTCCGGACGATCGGACGGCGCAGCGAGCCTACTTGTGTAGAGCACCTTCCCAACGGCAGCCTGTACTAGTAGTTGATGCACAGGGCCATGGCTGAGAACGTGCTGTTGATGTCGAGGTCCATCTGGTTCAGGGGCGGATCCAAAGGGGGGGGGGGGGCTGGGGCTCAGCCCCCCTAATGGTTTGATTTCACCACTAATCACTATAGCAAAAGCTTGATTTCACCATTAAATCTTCATGCAAATTAACATCTCCATTATTTTAGCCCCCCCTTATCCCGCATCGTGCATCCGCCACTGATCTGGTTCGTCACGGGATCAGCAAGCACACCCACGTCACTGTCGACGAACTATTGTCGACAGTCCATCAAGGCGTATACCCACGATGGTAGATTATGTGGTAGAGTTGCGCGTGATCAGAAACTAGATAGTAATACAAGCACCGAGATACAAGATTTAGACAAGTTCAGGCCGTCAATACGACGTAATACCATACGTCCTTTGTTCTGATAATTGTATTAAATGCAGATATAAGAAATAAATGGAGAAATAATAATTGGAGAAAACATGATGAAATCATGGAGAAAATTATATTAAATGTAGATATAAGAAGGACACTTATCTTTAGTCAGAACGTCTGGTCGGCGGCGTATGACGTTATCTGGTCGGCGTCGACGAAATTGTACGGCCCTGTCATGGCGGCGGTCGCGGTCGTCATAGCGCCGTTCTTCGCGACGATCATCATTACGACGCGGCAGACGATTGAAGCGAGTAGTCTAGACGACGACGTCCTTATGTTACTGGTCGGCCTTAGGTAGATCAAATTTAAAAATTGATGGCCGAGTAGAGTAGTCAGCGTGTCACGATGTTCGAGTAAACAGCTCGCTCGACGGTTTGGCGGCTCGCTTAGCTACTCGTTGGTGGCTCGTGCTTGCGGCTCGGAGTAGTCGTCAGTTTGCACGAATAGCTTCCATGCATTTTTAGTCGTACACTTTCCTTCTCTATTGCTTTAATTGCTGATTGGGCATAACTTGTACACCACGTCATCTTGTATGGTCTTGCAACTTGATACGCTTCCCTACGTCCTTTGTTCTAATGAATTGTATTGAGATGGCTGGATGCTAACCAGAGGACCTCTGTCCCTCCTTATATACTCTGAAGAGGTAGGATTACAAGAAAAATATCATAATCGACTATATGGTACGTAATCTATTTAGATTACAATTTTCATAAGTCTTAGCATATCTTCTATCATATCGTGGTATCCGGGGATATATCCCTCACACTCCCGTCACTCAGCATTTGGCCGCCATTGCAGCGCACGTGCGACTCTATGGTGCGCCGCCTCGTGCAAATGCTCGCGGCGCCCATCATCCTCTCCCAGCGTTATGGCGTTGTCCCGAAGCCTGATGCCGAGCGTGTCGTCGAGGCCTTCGCCGCCACCTCCAAGTCCGTCGCTGCCGAGTCCCCGGCCTCCGTCGAGGAGGGGGCTACCGCAGTTCCCTAGTAGGTAGGTCGTGGCCGCCGGCAACGCTATGTTTCAAGTGTTTCAGGCGTTTTTAGACACGTTGCAAGGCTATGTTTCAGTTGTTTCATATGTATATTTTAAGTGTTTCATACGGACGTTGCATATGTTGCAATGCTTGTACGCGTATGCTGCAAGCATTTCTTCGTAATGTTTCATCTATTTTTCAGTTGTATGTTGCAAGTGTTTTTATCTGGATGTTGTATATGTTTCACGCATATGTTGCAAGTGTTTTATCTGGACGTTGCGTTTGTTTGCAATGGTTTTCAAGTATTTTTCAGATATTTTTGCAAGTGTCGCATGTTTCAAGTGTTTTATCTGTCTTTTTTAATTTGTATGTTGCAAGTGTTGTATCTGTATGTTTCAAAAGTATATCGAGTGTTGCACATGGAATGCGCATGAGAAGCGGGGCTGGCGACCACGACCGCCCTCGCGCGCGGTCGACGGACGCACAGGCGACGTCGGGGGGCAGGAGCCCGCCGCTGGGGCGCTCGCTTGCAAGTCCGACGTTGCTGTGGCAATCGCTCGCTCGCTGCGCGGCACCAAGTGACGCTCGCGCCCCGGTTCGGATTTCGGGGTGCTGGCAAGTCCGCTTCATGTAGGCATGAGGATTCATCTTACCGGTCGATCTCGATCCCAGCGTGGTCAATCGTATGGGGCTCCAAGGAAGTTATATTATAATAAGATCGTATCGGGTACGTGCTTGTACAGAGCTCTAACAAAAGCAAAAGCAACAAGAAAAATGTGAAACCAAATCTCTTTCGAAAGAAATTCAACTCACTGTACTGGAGTAGTTTCCCATGCAGCAAGCAGTTATATATGAAAAATGTGAAACCAAATCTCTTTCGAGAGAAATTCAACTCACTGTACTGGAGTAGTTTCCCATGCAGCAAGCAGTTATATATTAGGGACCCTATATATTATAGGCGGGATACTAGCAAGCAATACTTACTGTAGTAGTAAGTAAGCAATGCGATTGCAATTTCTTGTGGTTTCGAAGACGACAACTACTTCACCTCATCATCTCCTTCCCTCGATCGCCTCACCCCGTCGACTTATACTACAAATAAATAAATTATCCGCAAGCGATGGACACAGAGCAGGCATTGCACCCTCCGCCCTTGCGCTGTACTACATCTCGCCTCGCTCGATCGGTGCCGGCCGGCACGCTGCGCCTGCAGCAGGCAGCCCCGCAGCCAGCCGGCAGAGACGACGATCGACGATGGGGCTCGTCTCCGGGATGGTGGCGGGGCTGCTGCTGGGCGTGGCGCTCATGGCCGCCTGGAGCAGGATGATGCGCCGCCGCACCACCAAGCGCGTCGCCAAGGTACCTACTGCACGGTTGGTTGTTTATTTGTTGGCAATCTATCGGGGAATTGTAGTATTCATTCATTTGATTTCATACCCAACCCACTAGTATATCTGTACACATGCTTCAAAACGGTTATTTGCTCTTTGGGTGCCCTTCGTCGTCAATCCAAATTTTATGTCGCGCTAATTTCATGCTGCTTTGAAAATTTGGCGATATATAACCCGGTATATGTTCATATGTCTCCTCTACAGGCAGCTGACATCAAGATCCTTGGCTCACTCTCAAGAGACGATCTGAAAAAACTATGTGGTGACAATTTTCCTGAATGGGTGTCATTTCAACAGTTTGAGCAGGTGACAAGCAACTGCACCTATGTTCTTTATTATGAAAAAAATATTTAATAAACTTATGTTCTGAGATTAAAAAAAAAAAGAGTTTGCTTCAATCCTTTGCATCCTTGATGGCTACTTTATTATTATTTTTTTAAGTACGCCTTTGGTTGATCTATCTGTCATCGATCCATCCATTGAAACTGTTTGACTTTGTTGCTATTTTCATGTTGACCCGTCAAAGAGGTTTGTCTGTAGAGTGTGGACAAAATTTTGTTGGGCTAATGCAATTCTCTTTGAAGTAAAACAGTTTTAAAAATCTTGTCTTCTGCTATAACTGCAATTATAAACCTTCTGTTCATATGCGCAAAGGTCAAAGCCTGAAATAATATGTGTTACTACATATGTTTCATAACTTATTGGACATGAATTTTGTTGCTCTACAGGTAAAGTGGTTGAACAAACACCTAAGCAAACTCTGGCCTTTTATAGCACAGGTATAAAAAAAGGAACTCGGTACAAAATAATTTCATTCATTTTACTTACATCGATTCACCAACAGCCAAATTTCCAATTCATTTCGCACTTGGGACTGTTGAACCTAGCTTTATGACAATTTATCTCTTCTACTTGGTATTAGGCTGCGACGTTGGTTGTCAAGGAATCTGTTGAACCACTACTCGATGATTACTGCCCTCCGGGAATAAAATCACTCAAGTTTAGCAGATTTTTCCTTGGAAATGTACCACCAAAGATAGAAGGTTGCTCTCTAACCTAAACATAAGAAGCAATTCATAGCATTCTCATCATGCTCATCTTGTCTACATAGATTAGGTAAATAATTCAAAATGGCATTCATTTGTTACAAGATGTTTACATATGCAGGATCCTTTCTTGAATCTTGAACCTATGTAAGTGCAATCAAGTAACTAAACAACTATAACTTACTGAGAGAAAAATATGATTAGAGCATTGCCTTATGTCATTAGATTACTGGTTTGAGCACAGCTCCTATCCATCATGTTAAGAAATCGACTAGATCCAAATACATAAGGATATTACCTATCATGCCATCCGGGAAATGCGACACAATAATCAGTTTCCGATAAGGATAATGTTTTTGTCTTCCTCAAATACAGATAAGCACAGTGTTGTGTAGCACTCTACTTTGTGATGCAATATAGAATTGGAGGAGTTTAAATTTACTTTTATCTTTTATTTATGAAGGTATTCGTATCCAAAACCTCCAGCCAGGCCAGATCATCATGGACATTGATTTTCGGTGGGGTGGAGATCCAAGCATAATCCTAGCTGTTGATTCCATTTTTGCTTCATTGCCCATTCAGGTTTCACATGATACTAGTTTGTTCAGCCATACATTTTTTGGAGCACCGCGACCGTTCTGCTGTACTATTGAGTAATGTTAACTTTTACATGAACCTACATATTTTCAGCTCAAGGATCTCCAGGTATTCACAGTCGTACGTACTATATTTCAGCTTTCTGAAGAGGTCCCCTGCATCTCTGCCGTTGTGGTGGCTCTCCTTGCAGAGGCATGTAATCCTTGTGGATTCCTGGAATTTTTACCCTATGGCATCATCATATTATGGTCTCTGATGTATTCATTTTGTGGCCTTTATATTGCTTCAGCCAAAGCCGAAAATACAGTACACCCTCAAGGCTGTGGGAGGAAGCCTTACTGCTATTCCAGGGCTTTCTGATATGATTGATGTAAAAAAAAAAAGGGGGCTATAAGATTTAAAGATTTTTATTGGTTGGTGTTGTGAATTGACCATAGCTTTTGTATCTCCAAATGCAGGATACTGTGAATTCAATTGTTACTGACATGCTTCAGTGGCCACACAGGATTGTGGTTCCACTTGGAGTCAATGTTGATACAAGGTTAGTTTGTAACCCTAAGGTCCTGTTTGGAAATGGGATTTTAGGAAGTAAATCCTTAGGATTTATTAGTAGAAATGTGAACTGAATCCTATAAACTCCTAGAACATTCCCCTTCATCCAAACAGGCCCACCCTGAGGGTTTACTGAACTCAGGATTTGATAACATAAAAGTAGCAATGAAGAATTTATTCTTAGATCTCAATACTGATGGATTCTGGTCTCAACGAAGTATTTGTTTGCATTTTCTTCAGTGAGATGGAGCTGAAACCTCAGGGCAGACTTGCAGTGACAGTAGTAAAAGCAACTTGTTTGGTTAATATGGAGATGATTGGAAAATCAGATCCTTACGTGGTATTGTACATCCGTCCCATGCTGAAGGTGAAAACGAAGGTCGTCGATCATAACCTTAATCCTGAATGGAACGAGACATTTCATTTGATTGTGGAAGACAAGGAAACACAGGAAGTTATATTTGAGGTCTTCATCTCTTCTTCTTTTGCTTCAACTTCAAGAGTTTGTGACTTTGTAGTATTTGTTTAGCAACAAAACAAAACAGAAACAAAAGAATGCCCTGACGCCGGTGGTGAGCTTTTTTTTTCAGATTTACGATGAGGACACTCTTCAGCAAGACAAGAAAATGGGTGTGGCTAAACTGGCAGTGAACAGCCTTGAACCTGAGAACCCAACGGAGATCACCCTGAATGTGCTGCAGTCACTAGATTCACTAAGAGTGAAGGACAACAAGGGTAGAGGGACACTGCACCTCAAGGTCAGCTCAGCTGTTGGTGCCTCCTGACATAAAACAAGCTGCATCTGATTCTCATCCAAACCTGCTCTGTTCATCACTTCATCAGGTCGTGTACCACCCGTTGACGAGAGAGGAGCAGGTGCAAGCCATGGAGACGGAGAAGGAAGCCATGGAGGAGAGGAAGCGGCTCAAGGAGGCCGGGCTGATCGGCAGCACCATGGACGCGCTGGGCGGCGCCGCCTCGCTGGTGGGCTCCGGCGTGGTTGGCGGCGTGGGCCTGGTGGGCTCCGGAATCGGCGCCGTGGGAAGTGGGCTTGGCAAAGCGGGAAAGTTCATGGGCCGAACCGTCACCGAGAGCTTCAGCATGCATCGGAAGCGCGACCAGCAGCAGGTCATGTCACGCTCACGTTCACAGACAACCTGAAGCTGAAGCTGAAGCTAATTGACGGACGCAGGCAATGTCTTCCAAACTTTTTTCATTTTTTCCCTGAGCTTGCATACTCCCTGTCCCCCCTCGGAAAACAACAAAGAGAAAAAGAACAAGCTTTCAGACATGCCCCAACCAACTCCAACGTTAGGCTCTGTTCCTTTACAGGGTATCATATAATAATAACTAGTCAGACAATGGGACTTAACAAAACATCTTGTATGTATACCGTGCCTTGTATGTACCACCTGCCTGATACTGAGAATAAGTCTTGTAGCGGCATCACAATTCACATGCCTGTGTGTTGGTATAAAACTATGCTTGTGCACAAAATCCTTTGGGTTTCTTCTTCATCTCACCTGATTGCATACGAATAGGGTACATGTGCCAATGTGCATGCCCCGTTCAAATAAAAATGAAGCAAAATACCAAAATGATTTGTAGCCACCATGGTTTAGGGGTTCGAGAATTCGCATGTCCTATCACCCCACAAAAAGAAAAAGGGCAAATAAATATGATGCTAAATTTGATTGACCATAGAATAAAGAAGCTTAACAGACGCAGTGTCCGTGGCCTGCTGCTTTAACTAGAACATGGCTAGACTCGACTCACATGCAGTGTTCTCGAAAGCGGTACATCAGAGACAAAGCAAGGACCCCCATTCGCGCAGCAAATTCAGAAAGGCAAGCTACAATGGTCCGAAACTTCCTACAGCTTTGCCGCCACAAATCAAAAGGTGTTTCCGGTACACTGGAGGACAGAGTACTCGCTTCCTCATATTCAAATTAAAGCTCAAGACCTAATTTCTCGACTATTCCAATTCTAACCATTTGATTGGTTTCATAATCTTGTTTTGCACCATTTTACCAGGCCATTCCGGTTCCCACAGCTAATATCACTCTAGAAGTAATGCCACTCTTATCTAGCACTCAACTTCAATGATACAGATCCCAATTCAGTTCCACGAACTAGATTATTTTCCATTGCATACCTCCAGGCTTTCCAGAGCGTAGTGATTATCATAGTATCATTACCAAGAACTAAAGGAAGACAATGATGGCTCTGAGCTGCGATAATGGAGATATTGCACTGAGCTAGCTCTGTAAGTCTATAACAATTTGATTTGATACAATAACAATTATAAGAATGGGTTCTCAATGAATCGTCCAAATAGGGAATTAATTGACTAGAGGTGGGAGCAAAAAGTTTTGGAGTTTCTATCTTATTTTCTGAAGAAAGAAGTAGATAGAGAACTAGTGTTGGGATGTACCATAATTCAAATAGGACTGAGCCAACATATGTCCTAGCTGGACTTGAGCTTGGGTGCTTAGATGCAGATGGCCATCTTGCAATGGCAACCCCATTGCATCAACGAATCTGACGTTGCGAAGTTTGATCCCTTTCTGAGCATCCCGTACGACTTGAGTATACTGTCCTAGGCCTGATGCTAGCCCTACCTGAAACATGTGGAGGAACAGAGAAAAAAGGAATTATTGCGGTGCGGCATACTGTTTCTGTTCATAATTATTAGTTAGTCGTTGGGTCTACGAATTGAAAACTACGGTTGGTTGGTAGACCATTCAGTTCAAGTGCAAGCATCCGAAGGCATGCTTGCTTCATGGATTGGAGCAAAATGGTTAATAGCCCCACCATCTTTACTTTGAGTAGGGTATCTTTCTCAGCAGATGATATTCATTTCTGTACAGAAAGAAAATAGAAATGGCACCGCCGCTGCCCAAAATGATGAACACTCAACAATACTTGAGGCTAATGATGAAGGCGACGAAAGATGTCGGAATGCTGCATTTGTAGGCTAACAACAGCCTTTCTGTAAGCTTCGTGGTGTACTTGCAATAAGGCAGGGATTAAATGCAATGAGCAAGGACCACAGTAATAATGCCTGAACCAGGTACAGCAATTACTGTGGCTTGACAATGCAAACTGGTCCAGTACGTGGCTTTGTGTAGGTGGTGTATGCTTGGAGCGGAATGAGTCGTTGAGGTGGTGTGTGGTCGGTGGTCCGGTGATGGAATGGAATGTGAAGTCACCGGCTCCGGCGGGTACTGAATTTGCTCGTGAGAACGGGAATGAGATAGAGTATATAATATACCAACCGTGCTCCGTGGGCAAGGCACAAACAGAGCCTTGCCTTTGTGTGCTTGTAGTCGGTGGTGGGGTGGGGTGGGGTGCTGAGACGAATCCAATTGTGTTGTTGCAATCGTCACCAACCATAACCAAATGACTGCAACGGACTAGTATAGGAGAGCAGAGTAGGTAGCAGCAGCAGCAAGCCAGCAAGCAACCAATCTACCTAGGTACTCCTACCAGCCGAGGCAAATTAAGCCATGGATCACATATATTACTGTACTAATCACTGATGCAATGGAATGCAAGTTTATTTATTACCTGGATGACGAGGAGGTGCGGGATGCCGAGATCGGCGCGGAGGTCGCGGACGAGCATGCCCATCCGGCGGCCGTACTCGGTGGCGTCGGACCACCTGACGGTGTCGCTCTCCCCCTGGTACCACAGCAGCGCCCCGATGCGTCCCCCGGTCTCGACGGCGACCCTGGCGCGGCGCAGCATCTCGGCGTAGAGCTCGGTGCCCTTGCCCCACTCCGCCATCCGCGTGCCTCCCACGGCGCAGGGGACGAGCCCTACCACGGGGCTCCCCGCGTGGCCCGACCGCAGCAGCGCGTTGGCGAACGCCATCCCGGGCCCGACCCCGACGGCGTGGTGGTCGGCGTCGATGCCGGCGTGCAGCGGCTCGTGGGCCTCCTCCCAGCGCAGGTCGGGCGAGAGGCGGAGCACCGCGGGGACGGCGCGCAGTCGCCCGGCACCACGCCGTCCCAGCGGTTCGCCACCACCCCCCCGCCGCGCCCGGCCATGTTGGACTGCCCCGCCAGGATGAAGATCAGCTTGTTGGACGGCGGCACGTCCGTGCCGGCGACGACGACGGCGACGACGAGCAGGAGGAGGAGCAGCATTGTCTTGGTTTGGGTTGGTGATCTTCTACCCCGAATGCCGACAAAGATTTTGAATCCTCTTCTCTTCTCTTGGACGAGGATGAGAGGCCGAAGAAGAGCCTTGGCTGGTTTGGTTTGCAAGGCAAGCGAAAGGAAAACCAAAAGGTGAGGGAGAACCGACCGACCGAGGTCAAACAAGCAGCCCGGTGGGGTGGGTGGATCCCACCCACTCACTGACATTCTCAGAGGGAGGGGGGGATGGGTGGGTGCCCCTGTCCGGGTAAGCCGATCTACACTCACGTGCTCCTTCGCCTTCAACAAAGATCCTTCATGTGAAGACGTCCATCGTTCCATCATTACTTTATAGGCCGCGTTTAGTTCGCCGAACTTGGCGCTACCGACGCATCTTGTTCATTCATGTAGAAGCATTGTAGTATTTCATTTGTGTTTAGTAATAATTGTCCAATCGTTGATTAATTAGGCTCAAAACGTTAATCTCGCAAAAGTACAACCAAATCATGCAATTAGTTTTTTATTTCGTCAACATTTAATATTCCATGCATGTCTGTGCAAGTTTGATGTGACGGGAAATCTTCTTTTTGCATAGTGCCAAAGTTTGAATTTTGGTGAAACTAAACATGGCCATAGTCAATCGCCAAGCGCCTCTCTACTCCCTCTATATTAAAAATAATAATGTAATTCTCGATTTGACAAATCAACAAATTTTAGGTTTGATCAAATCTATACAAAAAGAAATGCGAGTAAAATATAAATTAAAAATGAAATACAATATTGAGAGATCAAGAAACTGTATTTGAAAGCTTTCAAGAATTGTATTTAGCGCTAAGAAAATGAAAGAAAAAATATTTTAAAAAATATGAAAATTCCCAAAAACAATCCATTCAATGTCTATATACGTTTTTAAAACTTCCCTATAACAAACACACGGTATGGAACCAGCACAGACACATATATGAACATCGTAGAACATTTTGGAATACTTTTAGATTTTTTTTCTGAATACTTCTTCTTCTTTTCTAGAGGTAAATCTAATTTTATGGATCTTGTAGATATATTCACAGCCCCTAAACATTTTATTTGGGCTCGTAATGTCTTATTCCATCTCTATGATTTTTATCGGCCTCAAAACCTTATTAGGTATTTATCATATTTTTTCAATAAGTTAATAAAGATAAGACAACCTTGAAAATCATTTTTAAGCAAAAGGCGTTGAGATAAGTTAAATGGTTTAGAGAGAGCTAAGAGGGTAAGATGTTCGATTGGTAAAGAGATCTTTTGAAAAGAATACCGAAATCATTTTTGTCGGCCGTATGAGTTCTCTAGATCGGCCCAATTACAAAATTTGGCGTACAACAAAGTTTATATTCCTTATTAGACGGGCTTTCTAGAATCATTAACGCCTTCTACTGTTCTCTTTGTTCTTTTTCTATTTTCCCCCCTTGTTATTACATGACTTCTAGCATTTTTTTAATAAAGGAACAAAGTTCCAGCCTCTACCATTCGAAAAATGACACAACTGAGGGTCACGATACAAAAGAGCCATAAGGCAAACACACCCAAACAGGAAACAAAACAGAGTTCAACTCAACTAGTGAGCTCGTTGCCAAAAGGAAAACTCTAAACGCCAATACGGTTTGTGAAGTTCCAACCAAACTTCGCAAAAACAGACATAATCAACGTCTCCCATCTTCTGCATCCTTCCTTGAAAAACAAGCGTTCCTCCTCCTTATGCAACATGGACCACTGACGGATCTAGTATGTCGCCCTGAAGATTATATGCATGAAAGTATTAGCTTTAGCCTTATTAAACACCATATCATTCCTATTCAACCATATCGCCCAACAGAGTGCAACAGCTCCTAACCAAATTTGGTTCCGAAGCTTTGGATCCAAACCGTGAAGCCAGGAACCAAACAAGTTAGCAATGCTAGTAGGTGGTCGAATTCCAAAAGTGATATGCACGGTGTTCCAAATAAAGCTCATAAAATGGCAATTGAAAAAACAAATGTTGGATTGTTTCAGTAGAGTTACAAAAACAACATTTAATACTTCCTTGCCAGTTCCTCTTTGCTAGATTGTCTTTGGTAAGGGTTACACCCTTTTTATATACCACAAAAAAATCTTAACTCTCAGCAGTATTTTAAATTTCCAAATAGGGCTCTTGTCAAGATGGATTTCATGTCAAACGAAGCTTGTATACATAGAACGAACCATAAACAAGACATTCTTAGTAAAGTTCCAACGAAACACATCTTTTCCATTTGTGAGGCTGGTTTGCACCACTTTTGAGACTAGATCGAACCAGGCGATCCGATTTGTATTAATCAAACCTCGTCTAAAAGATACATTAAGTGGTATAGTCCCAAGGACCTTTGCCACCGTATCATCTTTGCGCCTCACAATTCTAAATAAGGACGGGTAGACCACGCTCAGGGGGTTGTCTCCTAACCACACGTCCTTCCAAAACCGCACATTCTCCCCGTTGTGCACCTTAAAGGTGCCACAAGTTAGGAAATCAGCTTTGGCCTTCATGAGACCAGCCCAGAAATTTGAATCCCCCGGCCTATGTTGCACCTAGGTCAAGGGTTTGTTCGTCAAATATTTCCTTCTTAGAAGGTCTTGCCAAACCCCATCCTCATTAATTAGCCTGAAAAGCCACTTGCTAAGTAGACATCTATTTTGAAGGTCTAGGTTATGTATACCTAAACCACCAAAATCCTTTAGAGTGCAAAGAACAGTCCACTTGGCAAGATGGTATTTCTTTTTGTGCTCCTCAGCTTGCCAGAAAAAACGAGAGCGGTAGTAATCTAATTTTTGAAAGACTCCTCTAGGGACTTCAAAAAAAAGATAACATGAACATGGCTAAGCTAGTTAGCATCGAGTTAATGAGGACAAGACGTCCTCCAACAGATAATAATTTACCTTTTCAGCTACATAGTTTTTTCTAGAACTTCTCTTCAATGATGGCCCAATCCTTGTTAGATAGTTTAACATGGTTCATAGGGATACCTAGATACCGGAAGGGGAAATCAACTAACTAAGCATCCAAAATGCTCGTGATACTTCTTTGTTCACAGTCCTTGGCCTTACCGTAAGTGAACAACTCACTTTTGGGAAAATTAATTTTCAGTCCCGATAATTGCTCAAAGGTACTAAGCACGAGCTTCAGTTCACTGACTTGTAGCGTATCATGACCCAAAAACAAAATGGTATCATCCGCATACTGAAGGATCGAAAGGCCATCATTGACTAGATGCGGGACAACCCCTCTAATATTTCCATTGGACTTAGCCTGAAAAATCAGAGTTGCTAGCATGTCTGCTACCAAGTTCAATAAGATAGAAGATAGAGGGTCTCATTATCTTACTCCTTTCTTGGTTTGGAAGAAATGTCTCGCCTCATCATTCACTTTGATGCTTACACTACCACCCTTTACTATTTGATCAATCCAGTTACACCAAACCGGTGAAAAGCCCATCATTCTTAAGATTTGTTGCAAAAAAGGCCATTTAACCTTGTCATAGGCTTTCTCAAAGTCTAGCTTTAAGATCACCCCATCTAATTTCTTTCTGTGCATCTCATGGATGGTCTCATGTAGGATAACTACACCATCCAAGATATTCCTCCCTTTCATAAAAGCAGATTGAGACGGTTGAACAACCTTTTGTGCCACTAGTGCTATTCGGTTGGTCAAGACCTTTGTAAAGATCTTGAAACTAACGTTCAACAAACAGATGGGTCGGAATTGCTGAATCTGTGTCGCTTCTTTTTGTTTTGGTAGCAATGTAATTGTGCCAAAGTTGAGACTAAAAAGGGGTAGACTACCTCTATGAAAATCAGCGAAGAGGGACAGAAGGTCTCCTTTTATAACTTCCCAAAATACCTGGTAGAACTCGGCTGGGAACCCATCAGGTCCAGGAGCCTTAGTATGCTCCATTTGGAAAATAGCCTCTTTAACTTCTTGTTCAGAAAATTCAGCCGTTAAGATTTCATTTTTAAGGTGTGAGACTTACGGAATGTCAGACGTAGCAGATTCCACCAAAGAAAAGTTGTTAACATCCAGACCCCAAAGAGACCTTTATAGTAATTGGTAATTGATTTCTTTAGATTTTGATCACCTTCGATTACTCCCTCTTCTTGTTCGAGCGGAAAATCCGGGTTCTCCTGTGTTTACCATTAGCCACAAGGTGAAAATACTTAGTATTACAATCACCCGATAACAACCTGGTTGTCTTGGCTTTTTGGTACCACTTGACTTCCTCCTCCCATAGAAGTGAGGTCAGTCTCTCTTTGTAAAAATGTTTAAGGTCTATTTCTAGACTACTTAAAGGTTGCACTTCCGCCTTTTTGTGAAGCGCCTCAGCTTTTGCAATGAGTTGGGCCTTTTCTTTCTTATAATTCCCACTCACATTTTTAGCCCATCCCCTTAAAAACTAAGTCGTTGTATCTTACATTGCCAACATTGTAGTGGGGTGCTGCCCCCCTGTTCCTTGGACCAAATTCCGGCCACTAAAACATTAAAGTCATCCCTCAACAACCAACCGAGTTTAAATTTGAAACCCGATTGCTTGTTACCATGAGTGCCATTTCCAGTGTCCAATAGCAATGGAGTATGATCTGAAATTTCCCGTGTCAACGCTTGTACCGTTGCTAGCGGGAATTTAGACTCCCATTCCGTACCAACTAGGATCCGGTCTAGTCTTTTAAAAGTTGGGGATCCGGTCTAGTCTTTTAAAAGTTGGGGTGTTCCTGGAATTGGCCCATGTATATTTCCTATTAGAGAGATCTAGCTCCCTAAGACCCAAGCTATCAATAATAGCATTGAACACGAAAGACCATCGGTCATCATATATGTCATTATTCTTCTCTTGAGGGCTTCTGGTGACATTAAAATCACCACCCACGAGAATAGGATCAGCTTCTAACAATTACTCATGTGGTCCGAATCCGATGATCTATATAGATGGATGGATCGTGGATGTGATCTGGAAAGGGCATGGCCACACACAGAGTGAGAGTGCCCTAGATTGGATTGGATAGCTGGAAATCGCGTACTATGGCCGCACTAGGATAACATTGGCACATCGCATGTCGTTGACATTTTGAGCCATGGGCAACATGACCTGGCCGCCTATTTCAGCACAAACTGATGCTTTCTTCCGGTGCAATAATCCTGTTTCAGCACGCTAACGCCAGTGCCATTGCCTTAGTGACCTTTTCTTTTTCTATTTTAGGCTGTGTTTAGTTGTAGGAATTTGGATTTTGGGGCTACTGTAGCACGTTCGTTTTTATTTGGCAAATAGTGTTCAAACATGGACTAATTAGGCTCAAAACGTTCGTCTCGCAATTTCCCACCAAAATGTGCAATTAGTTTTTCTTTTCGTCTACATTTAATGCTCTATGCACGGACCGCAAACATTCGATGTGACAGGTACTGTAGCAAATTTTTGGAAGTTGGGGTGGAACTAAACAAGGTGTTAGTCTAAAATTTAATAATACATTTTCTGTGATATGCAACTCCGGTGTTGACTTACTCCCTCTATCCTGAAATATAGTGCATTCTGGCATTTAAAATTTATCCTAAAATATACACTGGCGAACAAAAAGATAATGTTTACTTAAATAAAAATATGTGATTATTTTGTATAAGCAAAGTAATTCGTGTACTTGCTATATTTTCAATAAGGAGACTAAGAGTTCACTCTTTAATCGTGCGAAATAGAATCAGATTTCAATACATTAGGAATGTAAGTGAGGGGTACATGTATAGTTTTAAATAGCGGGCTATTGAAAATAGCGGCAACTTTTTTTCAACAGCTACGAGGCTATAGCGGCGCTATGACAGATAGCGTTGTTATAAAGAAAACATGAAAAACACCAATAATTGATGAAAAAAACAAAGTAAACATGAAATTCGATGAACACAAATATGTTTCTAATGTTCCACAAGTCTATGTAACATTACTAATATGACATTACAACATGGTTCATGAAAGTCCAGTGTTTAATTATCCAAAATACCAAATTAGTAGCAAATGAAAAGTAGGAAATAACAAACAGACGGTAATCTTCTTGTTTGGATTACTTATTAGGCCTAACATTAGATAGTAATAACTAACAATTAGCTCTAATAACAAACAGACGGTAATCCTTAGTAGTTATTAATCTATTATTTTAGTTTGATAGGTTGCCTTTTTCTTTTTATATAATTTCCGTGGGGGCAAAACATATTGTTACTTCTCTCGAGAGGTAGCATCGCTGTTGGGCGGTAACCGCACCAAACGATGCAGGTAGGAGGAGCGCATATGGAGTGAAATTGTTGAGTGAGAGCCATTTTCTCATGCAGAGTCACAATTTCGGGCTTCGACGGAAGGGCTCCGGCTTCGGCACTAGAGCATGTGAAGCAAAAGCCCCTCTAAACTGCCCCTAAACTCAAAGCGAGAAGATTAAAAGTGAGAGACGGCAAACCAAGGAGGTGGAAGAGAACGAGAAGAAACAAAAGAAAGAAAATGTACCGTTTTGAATATTGTCCAAATATATAAGAAAAAATATTAATATTTATGATGCATAATTAGTATCATTAATTGGATCGTAGAATCTATTTTCATAATAAACTTACTTGGAGATATAGTGTTGCTAATATTTTATACAAGTTTAGTCAAACTTAAAAAAAAAATTGACCGTCACGTGACACTTACTCTATTTTGGAACGGAGTGAGTATAGATTAAGTTCAGGGTGCAGTGTATATCGGTCCCACGTAATATACAGGACAGCCAAGAAAACGCGTTGCCGGTGACGATGCCGGGGTTGTGTCGTCTCGCAAATGAGGACGAAACAAAGATGAACAGACAAGCTGGACTGCAGGCTACTAGTGCAGTCCCCATTTGTGTTGTGTGTGGCCGAATCGACCTACGTGCCAGGCTGGCTACCAGGGAGAATACGATGATATCTGTGCAGCCCATGCTTGGTCGTATACGCAATGGAGCAGAGGCAGACAAACGGAAAGGGCACAGCAGCTTTTATATGCCATGATGGATGGATGCGTGGGAATGCATGCGGCGGCCGCCGATGCGATGCGCGCGTGAGCGACCAGTGACCGTGACCAGGGGTGGTGGCCGCGGTCACCATTAAGGGTACAGTACCAGTAGTTACGGTGGCTGTCCTCTCCCTACTTACTAAATCTCACTCCAATCACCCAGCGAACACCGACTGGTCCGTCCGTCCCTGTGAGTGATACTAGTGACAGCGAGCGGCAATGGCGCAACTGCTCTCAGCACTCCCAATGCCCGTGCTGCTGCCTTTCCTCCTCTTCCTGGCCGCCGCAGGGGCAGGGGCAGGGGCAGAGGAGGCAGCCTCCGCCTCCAGCCCGACGCTGGTGTTCCTCCTTGCGGGGCAGTCCAACATGGGCGGCCGCGGCGGCGCCACCAGCGGCACCTGGGACGGCGTGGTGCCGCCCGACTGCGCGCCCTCCCCGCGCATCCTCCGCCTCTCCCCGTCCCTTCGCTGGGAGGAGGCCCGGGAGCCGCTGCACGCCGGCATCGACCTGCACAACGTGCTCGGGGTCGGCCCTGGATGCCCTTCGCGCACGCGCTCCTGCGGTCCTGGCGCTCAGGCCGCCGCCGCCCCGCCGTCGTGGGGCTCGTCCCCTGCGCGCAGGGCGCCACGCCCATCGCCAACTGGTCCCGCGGCACGCCGCTGTACGACCGCATGCTCGCGCGCGCCAGGGCCGCCCTCGCCAATGGATCCACCAGTCTCGGCGCGCTGCTCTGGTACCAGGGCGAGGCAGACACCATCAGGCGCCAGGACGCCGACGTCTACACGTCCCGCATGGAGGCCTTCGTCCGCGACGTCAGGCAAGACCTCGGCATGCCGGACCTGCTCGTCATCCAGGTCGGGCTCGCCACGGGGCAGGGCAAGTTCGTCGACATCGTCAGGGAAGCACAGAAGAGGGTCAGCCTCCACAACGTCAAGTACGTGGACGCCAAGGGCCTGCCCGTCGCCAGCGACTACACGCATCTTACCACGCCGGCGCAGGTGCGGCTCGGCAAGATGCTCGCCGCCTCCTACCTGGCAGCCACGCTCTGAGAGTCTGACTACTGCTGCTTCATTCTCAACTGCCATTGCCATTCCTTCCTTGTTGTCTTAGATTACAATTGCTACCAAATTACACCCGTCAGGCACACAGCAACACCCAATAAGCCTCATCATCTTGCTATGCTACCACCATGCCATGCATCTGCTCTAGAGCCTGCCTTCCATTCCTGTGTTGCTTACTGAATACTGATGGTGCAAAATTGAAAATGAAATGGTCATTCCTGGGGTTGCCGTAACAGCACCCATTAACCGCATTGTACTGTGTACGGGATTATTAATCAAGTCGGTATTAACTGCTCATTTCTGGCCAACCAATCGATGCTCGCATTTCATGCTCTTCATTCACAGTACTAGCACCAGGTTAAACTTGTACGGAACACGCCACGCTGTTCAGCGACCAAGTAATTGCCCACTAACTGCTCTGAGAGGCAATTCAGTTTTGACAGCATGTACTCATGCTTCAGGTCCAAAGAGAGAGCTCTACAAAAGCAGGCGACCTCAAAACTGTGACTCTCCTCAACAGATACAACATTACGGAGTATAGGAATATTCACTAGCTAGGTTTACTTGTAAACTACCGTATGATGTTACCGTGTCAGATCCATCACAGGCTAACAGAGACTCCGTATTGTTCAGTTCAGAGCTTTGTCACCTCTGCGCCTCAGAATTTCTGGGAGATTGCTCAGAATATGCGCTACCATTTGGTGGTTGCCTTGCCTCAAAAGAAGCTGGGCTGCAACTTTCAGGCAATTGATGATTTCTTTTCATAACGCTAGTGGAGGACTGTTCTGCTTGGTGTCAATATGTACTGTAGTTTCTTTGTCAGCTTTCACTTTCAGTAAACTAGCACCGTTCAACTTTGTTGGACTTCTGAGACCGACAATCCTAAATGAATTGGAAAGGGGAAAGTTTCAGTAGGCAACATCTGTATTAGTATATTCTCTACCTAAATATCAGTTTAGGGAGAAGGTAAGTCAGCTCACTGAAGCTGGTAAATCGTTGTGGAGCAAGGAAACAGCTTTCCTAACAACCAATACTATGGGGTACCTCCAAAGTCTGTCCAAGCCAAGCATCTGAAAATACCCCAAGTCGGGGGGCGCAACATGCTGCCCTATTGTCAATGCCATTCATATAAAGGTAGCAATGCACTTACTGAAAGAAAGGAAGTTTTTTTCCCCTTCACCAACGCCACATGAGAGACAGGGCTTAGCTGAACCGTTCCCTGGCTAGTAATGTTCACTGCTAAAGCTAATTTAGAAGCTATAAGGAAACAGGGGGTTCAATGATATCAGACAGCAAGGTTATGATGTTTGTGCATACCATAATCATTTTTCATCGCACAGCTACGGAGGCACCAATGGGCGTGCCTGATGAGCTCATTATGCATCATTTCATTGCTACGGATTATGGAGCGTGCTTGATGAGCTCATTATGCATCGTTTCATTGCTAGGGCTTAGTGGCACGCTGAGTTTGAGCATATTTGACTACACTCAGACCACCACGTGACCATGAAGAGAAGAAAGAAATTTGTAACCCAGATTGTAAGCACTGGCACTCTGCCAACGGTTTGTAACATAAGAGGGTTTATAAGATTAGGTCTGCTCATGCAAGTTGCACAGATTTGGGGGCATCTGGAGGTTCATGTACTCATGAAAATCGGATGTTTCCTCTTGATCCAGATTCCAGAGTATGCAGTATACACAGATTTGTTGTGTGGGCAAAACATGCCATGTTGATGATGCGGGAATTCAGGATTCAGAAATGGCATGCCATCTGTATTCTCCTATACATGCTCTGAATGCAACCAACCAGGTTTTCCCAAGGCATGGCATATATAAGTGCACACAAGAGCAGATGGTAATGATGCCAGATACCACCAAGTCGGCAAGTCCTAAATCAAAACACACGGATTTGATTCGCTCGAATTTGTGGTTCATTAGATTAGACTATATGGATGGATGGTTCAAGTCAAGCACGGGTTATTTTGCAAGCTTATTTATTGTACAAGATGGTTTAATTCGATGGCTGAAGCAGCCGCTCTCCTGATCTCCCCCATCTACATTGGAGGGATTGGGAGGGGAGGCAAAAGCAAACGGTAGATGAGATGGAGATTAAGATGAGGCCTGTGGTGTAGAAGAACAAAGCGGATGGTGGAATGGAAGAGGAAGGAGGGTTGCTTGCTAGCCCTGGGCGTCGTCGTATGAACGGTGCAGGTCTGTGGTGCATCCGGGAGCGTCGGGGTCCTCGGCGCCGCAGCAGTCGTAGAACTTGGCGGCGTAGGGAGGGTCGCCGTCGCGGAGCTCGTAGTACCTGTACTACCTAGATGAATCAGATCATAGGCGAGCAGGGTGTAGGGCAGGGCAGGGTAGGGTAGGGTAGGGTAGGGTAGGCAGGCACCTCTTCTGGTCGTCGTGTCGGCGGCAGACGAAGAAGGAAGGGTGGAACCTGCGGAGAGGCGCGTGTTGGCCGAGGGATCGTAGCTTGTCTTGCACCGCCGGCACAGCTTGTCTTTGGCCGCCGCGGGTGCGGCGGCAGCGGCAGGGGCAGAGGGAGGGGCAGGCACGCCGGAATCCATGGCCGTGGCCGTGCGAATGCGAATTCGGGGGCGAGACCTCAGCGGAGTTGGAGGAGTCGAATCTGGTTTGTCCTCTGCTGGTGGCACAGCTTCTTCTACGCCATCGATTGCACCCTCACAGATGCTTTCATTTTTATATGTACGAGGCCTGGTTTAGATTACAAATTTTTACGATCTGAACATTGTAGCACGTTTTGTTTGTATTTGACAAACTTTATCTGATTATGGACTAACTAGGCTCAAAAGATTCCTCTCGTGATTTACAACCAAACTGTATAATTAGTTATTTTTTTTACCTACATTTAATGCTCCATGCATACGTTCAAAAATTGATGTGATAGAAAGAGAGTGAAAAAACTTGAAATTTTGAGGCAATGTAAACAAGGCCCTACTCACAAAAACAAACAGCTTAATTAGTAGTTTATTGAAATCGAAATGGCAACCTGGCCGTATATTTTATAAATACTGTAAATTCAAATGGCGCCATGAAGAATTCACGTGTTTGAAGCAGCAGAGTCCAGAGTGACTCCGGCCAGGCTGCGCTCGGAACCTGCTCCATGAACGACCTCGGATTCCGGCTTCCAGAAAACAGGGCGGGCAGCTCGATTGATGTCGTCCGTCGTGCGCCGCCGCCCCCGTGACCGGCCACGACGCGGCACGCCGGTACGGCGGCAAAAGGCAGCACACGTGCGCGGGGCATGGCGGCATCACTTGCTCGGTTCCGTGAAACAGACGCTGCGCCTACAGCACAGTAGGTTTGGTGTCTGCTTTCCAAGGCAGTGGGTGGTACCTCGCCCTCCAGCCTACAGTACTAGTTCTGAACTGAGGTTAGCGTACGATAGTTAGGGGGCGTTTAGATCAAAAAAAAAATTTGGATTTTGGCTCACCGTAGCATTTCATTTGTATTTGATAATTAGTGTCAATTATAGACTAATTAGATTCAAAAGTTTCATCTCGTGATTTCTCACCTAATCTGTAATTAGCTTTTTTTTTTTAAATCTACATTTAGTACTCCATGCATGTGCCGCAAGATTCGATGTGACGGGTACTGCGTAAATTTTTTTGGAATCTAAACTCCCCCTTACTAGTGCTGATGCATTAAGGCCGTGTTTAGTTGGGTGGAAGTTGAAAATTTGGCTACTGCAGCATTTTCGTTTTTATTGGTTAATTAGTGTTCAATCATGGACTAATTAGGCTCAAAACGTTCATCTCACAATTTTCAACCAAACTGTGCAATTAGTTTTTTTCGTCTACATTTAATGCTCCATGCACGTATCGCAAGATTCGATGTGATGGCTATTGTAGCACTTTTTTGGGAAAAGTTTTCGCGAACTAAACAAGGCCTAAGCTGTACTCCCTCCATACCCAGATTTCAAGTCGTTCTGGGTACTTGGCTAGTTTTCACAAATCATGTCATTCTCTGCACCCGAAGGCAAGTTTGTACGCGATTACCCCTCCCTTAATCACGCGCGTGCACGCCGTCCGCATTGATCGCGCCTGTTCGTTACTCACGCCACCCGTTTGGCTTGCCGCTGGCCGATCCAATGAGTGCTCAGACCGCCCACGACTTCGTTCCTCGCCGACGCCCTCGCGCTTACATCCTTTTCGCAGTAGCCTCTCGCGCTCACCTGACGACGTTGCATGTCCTCGTCGCCTCGCCTACGCCGCACACGCGACGTCCTCCTCCTCACTCGCCTCGCCGCTCGCCGCACTTCCTCCTCGTGCTCGTGTTCGTCTCCTGCAACATGCTTGCCATGGAGCCCAGCGCCATGAAGCTCGCTCCAGCCACGGAGGAGGCGCTCGACTATGAAGTGGCGCCGAACTCAGAAGAGGTGGCGGTGGACACCAAATTGAGCAGCAACGATGCTTGTATCCTTCCTCCTTAGTTTCTCATTATTGCTTCTAGTCAACAAAGCTTGGTACACTTGTGCGCACTCGTGGTCATCATGTCCTTCCTTCGAGGATTTGGTTGAACGGTAGCATCATGAGCATGATCTAGTAGAGGAAAAAGAAACAAAGTATCTCAGAGCATCATCAATGCAAGCGCTTCAACAAAGTAGTCGTGGCTTAACTAAAATGAATAATGTGATTGTGTCAAAAAAGTTACCAAAGAAGATTTTGTAGATAGTCGAAATTAATTGCACCGAACTCATCTAGTGGTAAGTTCAAATCAAGTAACGTGTAAAAAAGAAACAATGATTTAAGAACCGAGCAAAATCGCATATGCTAAGAAACACACGAGAGCGCTTAAGTGATGCATTACCGCCATGGTGAACTTACGGCTCGTCGACGCCGAACACGTCGTTGTCGTCATCATCTTGTGGCTCGCCCACGCCGAACACGTTGTCGCCGTCGCCATCTTATGGTGCTGGAACGTTGAGATCAAACCCGAGGTCGGCGCCCGTCATCTTCGGA